TATGGAACTCACCGAATGATTAAAAATTATTGTTTAATCAAGTAAAATAGTATGGAACTCACCGAGTGATTAAAAATTATTGTTTAATCAAGTAAAATAGTATGGAACTCACCGAGTGATTAAAAATTATTGTTTAATCAAGTAAAATAGTATGGAACTCACTAAGTGATTATAATTATTGTTTAATCAAATAAAATAGTATGAAACTCATTGAGTGATTAAAAATTATTGTTTAATCAAATAAAATAGTATGGAACTCACTGAGTGATTAAAACTATTGTTTAATCAAGTAAAATAGTATGGAACTCATTGAGTGACTAAAAAATATTGTATAATCAAATAAAATAGTATGGAACTCACTGAGTGACTAAAAATTATTGTTTAATCGAGTAAAATAGTATGGAACTCATTGAGTGATTAGAAATTATTGTTTAATCAAGTAAAATAGTATGGAACTCACTAAGTGATTAAAATTATTGTTTAATCGAATAAAATAGTATGAAACTCATTGAGTGATTAAAAATTATTGTTTAATCAAGTAAACTAGTATGGAACTCATTGAGTGACTAAAAATTATTGTTTAAACCAGTAAAATAGTATGGAACTCACCGAGTGATTAAAAATTATTGTTTTATCAAGTAAAATAGTATGGAATTCATTGAGTGACTAAAAATTATTGTTTAAACCAGTAAATAGTGTGGAACTCATTGAGTGACTAAAAATTATTGTTTAATCAAGTAAAATAGTATGGAACTCATTGAGTGACTAAAAATTATTTTTTAATCAAATAAAATAGTATAGAACTCACTGAGTGATTAGAAATTATTGTTTAATCAAGTAAAATAGTATGGAACTCATTGAGCGACTAAGATTATTGTTTAAACAAGTAAAATAGTATGGAACTCATTGAGTGATTAGAAATTATTGTTTAATCAAGTAAAATAGTATGGAACTCACCGAGTGATTAAAAATTATTGTTTAATCAAGTAAAATAGTATGGAACTCACCGAGTGATTAAAAATTATTGTTTAATCAAGTAAAATAGTATGAAACTCATTGAGTGATTAAAAATTATTGTTTAATCAAGTAAAATAGTATGAAACCCACCGAGTGATTAAAAATTATTGTTTAATCAATTAAAAAGTGTGGAACTCATTGAGTGATTAAAAATTATTGTTTAATCATGTAAAATAGTATGAAACTCATTGAGTGA